TGCTCTAATCTTTATTATTTCCTTCCTTTTGCTTGTTTTAGGCTTAGTTCACTCTTCTTTTTCCAGAGTTTTAAGATAGGTTAGAATATTGATTTAAGGTATTTCTTTTTCTCTATTTACAACTACAAATTTTCTTCTATGCTCTGTTTTAGCTAGGTCCAGTACATTTTGGTATGTTATCTCTTTATATTCATTCATCTCAAAGTTTTCCCTTTTGAATAAAGAAGCACTTTTTTGACCCATTGATTATTCAAGAGTGTTATATAGTTTACACTTATTTTTAATTTTAACAAATTTCTTTCTGTGAATTGATTTCTGCTTTTATTTCATTGTGGTCAGAAAACATACTGTGTATTATGTCTGCTCAGATTTTTGTAGGTTTGTTTTATGGCCTAGTATATGTTCTGTCCTGGAGAATGGTCCACGTACACTTGTGAAGAATGTATGTTTTACTGGTTTTGGATGGAGTGTTCTATAGATGTCCGTTAGGCCTGGATGGTTTATAGTATTCTGGTTTTCTGTTCCCTTGATGACCTTCTGTCTAGTTGCTCTATTCAATATTGAAAGTGAGCCATTAAAATCTCCAACTGTCACTATTGAATTGTTTATTCCTTCCTTCACTTCTGTAAGTTTTTGCTTTATATATTTTGATGCTTTGCTAATCATTATGTGTTTATATGTTGTATATGTTTATAATTGTTACAGCTTTCAGACAGATTGACCCTTTATCATTATAAAATGTCCTTCTTTATCTCTGGTTTTATGTTTTGTTTTAGAGTTTTTGTCTATTATTAGTATAGCCAGTTCAGCTTTCTTGTAGTTACTCTTTACATGATATACCTTTTTCCATTCTTCTACTTTCAGTTTGTATCTTTGACTCTAAAGTGTGTCTCCTGAAGACAGCATATACTTGGATTTTGTTTAATTTTTTATCCAATCTGACAATCTCTGCCTTTTAATTGGATTGTTCATTCCATTCATATTTGAAATTATTATTGATATGGTTGAGTTTATATCTTTTTATGTCATTTTACTTTTTGTTTTTTATGTGTCATGTCTTTTTTTGTCTCTACTTCATCTTTACTGCTTTCTTTTGCATTAATTGAAGGTATTATGCTGTAGCATTTAAAATTTTTAATACTTTTTTCACTATTATTTTTGAGTTATTCCTTAGTGGTTGCTCTAAATTTACCAGATGCACATAACTCATCAGAATCAGCTTCATGCTTATACTAACTTAATTCCAGTGAGGCAGAGAAATGTTACCCCTTTACCTTTAATCCTGCCTCCTTTAATGGTATTATTATTACACATATTCCACTTGTAAATGTTATAAACTCAACAATACATTCTCATAATTATTCATTTATGTAATTTTATGTCTTTTAAATAAGCTGAGAGAAAAAAAGAGGAGAGCAGGTATACATTTATAGGTTTTATAAATGTTATTTCTTTCTCTTATTTATTATTTTTAATTGAATTATAGTTGATTTATAATATTATATTAGTTTCAAGTGGACAACATAATGATTCAGATTTTTTAGCAGATTACACTCCATTAAAATTCATTATGAGATAATGACTGTAATTCACTGTGTTATACAATATATCCTTATTGCTTACCTATTTTATACATAGTAGTTTGTATCTCTTAATCCCATACCCCTATCTTGCCCCTCCCTCCTTCCCTCTCCTCACTGGTAACCACTAGTTTGTTTTTTATATCTGAGGGTCTGTGTCTGTTTTGTTATATATATATATACTTTTTTTGTTTAATTTTTTTAGATTCCACATATAAGTGAACATCTCTCATTAAATTATTTCTAAGTATTTGATATTTTTAATACAAAAGTCATTAGTCTATAATTTTAAAATATTTTTTTTAAAATCATTTGTTGTTAGCATGTACAAATACAGTAACATTTTGTGTTAATAGATCTTGCTCAAGTTCTTTTTAATTATAATAGTTTATCTATGGGTATTTTTTCATTTTTAGTGTACAGAATAGTGTTTACTATGAGTAATTTTAGTTTTATTTTTCCTTTCAAACCTTGTACCTTTTATATCTTTTCCTTTTTCTATTGCACTGGTTAGTACCCTCATTAAAATGTTGACTACAAACAGTGATAGTAGACATTCTTCTCTCATTTCCGATTGCAGGGTAAAACTAATATAATACTTGCTTCATATTTGTTGCAGCTGTCCTTGATCAGATTAAGGAAGTTTTCTTCTTTTAATTTGCTGAGACTTTTTATTCTTAATGGCTGTTGCATTTTATGAAATGCTTTCTCTAAACTGTTGAGAAGATCATGTGATGTTTCTCCCTTAATTCATAAATGCGGCAAATCATGTTCAATGTTTTTCAATCTTCATGTCAATTTGTATTCTTGGAATGAATCCAATT